CCCCAATGTCTACGTCTCGTGTCGGCTTCTTGCTGCTTCTTTGTGCACCTTCAAGAACTGACCGTTGCCTCTATCTTCTACCAAAAACTGGTAGGTTTTCTACTGCGTCTGGCGCACCTTCAGGAAACCTTGGTAGTTTTACCGCTGCCACCAATGTCGTGATCCTGGATTGGACCACCGTCTTCACCAATCTTGTAGTCGCTGCCCCCAAATGTTGTAGTTCTCTATTTGGCTCGTATCACCACTTGTTGTGAATGTTATTCTTTATTTTTTTTATAATTAAATTCTTACTAAGTTGTTATTACTTATTTTTTAAACTTTATACAAATATAAATTTAGCAGTATTACTTCTATGAAAAATTTTTATGGAATGTCCCCGGTCCCTTCTGTGACCTTGCTTTTATGAGAATGCCCTCTCCAAAAATCCACGAGCGTACCTACTATTCTTTAATAATATTTTCAGTTAGGTTTGCAAAGGGACAACATGACCATTTCTTAAGTTAATAGAAACCAGACATCGCGTCTGAAAGTAAACGTATTACAAAGGAAAACTAAAATATTGATGCAACTATTTAGACCTATTCTTCCAAATTTTATCTTAAGGTAATGGTTCTGTTTATTTGCATCACCCATCTTTCTGAGAAGAATAATAATGTTGATGGTATTTTTCGTACCTTAAATTCTTTAGGCATAGCCGTAGAATAAGGGTAAAAATAATATTTTATACAATTTGTCGAATATACATATACATATAACCATATTAAATGTATGTTCACAACAAAACTTATAAGTGGCTATGCGGAAGTATTTATAAAGAAAGCTTATATTGTTGGCCTTGCACTTTATTAGGCAGCATTAAAAACAATTGGAGTTCAGGGGGAGGGTATTCCGATTTAAAAAATTTTTCACGGGCAGTAAAATCACATGAGGGTTCCAAAGAACACATTAAGAATTTTATAGCACTTACCAGGCTAGAACAAAATAGGGCAACTATAGCGGATTCGTTGAAAGAAAATGCAAGTCTTATAATAAAAATTTATTATAATGAAAAACTGTACGTAAAAATCTGTTTTATTATTAAGTTATTTAATAGTATTGTTACTATTTATAACGAAGAACTTGGCATTTCGAGGCCACAATGAAACAACATCAGAATCTTCTAATCGTGGGAAATTTTAAGAAATATTTGCATGTCTAATAAAGAGGAATGCAGAACTTACCGATCATTGCACAAAATTTAAGCATATCTTTACAGGACAATCAAAGACGATTCAAAACGAACTTATTGATTGCATACACGAATATATTCGAGAACATATAAAAAAAACTTTGTGGTTGTTGTTCTTGGGTTATGCGGGACGACAGTACTGATATAACGGAAAAATCACAGTGTTCTATAACAGTTAGGTATGTAACCAACGGGTTTTAAAGAAAGATTTTAGGTTTTTTTGACGTCAGTGATGATAGAACAGCAGAAAGCTTTTTCAGTTAATAAGACAGTAGTTTAGAGCCTTATGACATTAAAAATAAACTTGCTCGTCGCGCAGTGGTTTAATGTACGGCCGCCAAATAGTGTTATGGCAGGTGAAATAAACGGACTTCAAACAAAAGTTAGATCTATAGCTCCTTTAGCCATTTTTACTCATTGCTGTGCCCACAGATTAAATCTAGTATTACAACAGGGAACGAAACAGATTACGCAAAGCCGTATATATTTTGCCACTTTATTAGGGATACCAAATTATTTCAATCAATCACCAAAACGGTCATTTGTGGTTAACCAGATAGTTGGTAAACGGATTCCACGAGCTGTAGAAACGCGATGGTATTCACGGTCTAAAATTTTTGAATTTTAGTGGCTAATGAATGGGAAAATTTAATTTTAGTATCTTCAAACTATCGCTAATGACTTAAGTTCAGGAACCGAATCTATTAGTGCCGCAAAAGGATTATATAAAACATTTTAACATTTTTTGAATTTTGCCTTTTAACTCAAATTTATATAATGACATTTTTATGTTTTTTTTTTTTTTTTTTTTTTTTTTTTTTTTTTAAAAAATAGATATAAATTTACTGCACATCGCAAATAAGCATTGCCAAACTAAGAATTAACGCATTAAGGAACGAAGACCATTTCAAGTTTCTTCTTTATATTTGCCAACAATTGCCACCAGCTTGCCAACTAACACCGCATGAGTCGGGGTTGTTTCTACGAATCAGATAAATTTTACGAAAGTATAAGATATTATATTTCGAAATAATAGATTGCATACTTCTTCAATTAGAGACGCGGTTTAAAATTTAAATAAACTTAAATTTTTCTTGCTTTAGTCGATTGCACAAAATATTCGGAATATGTTAAATGTTTTACCAGACCAACTTTCTTAACCAGTTTTAGTAAAAAAATTATTCAAATATATTTGGACAGAAGATTTAGGTTATTAAAAAATGAACTTTTCTTGTATTTAATTTAAATAAAAAAAAACAGTTTTTTTTTATAATTTGTGTTGTGAGAAAAGTTTAGATATGTTATTCAAAAAATTTCAAGACAATTTTTGCCGAAGTATATAAGCTTTTTAGCTTAGTTTTAACTATTTCTGCAACGAGTGTATCTGCCGAACGAAACTTTTCATTCTCAAACGAAATTTAAAACGTATTTAGGAATACTCAATGACACAAGATTCGACTCTCGGGATTAGCAATGATGTCTATAGAACAAGACTTACTGACAAATCTTAGTAATAACCCACAATTTTATTGAACAATAATAGATAAATTTGCAACCTTAAAAGACAGACGAATAGACATTTGTAATTTTACAAAAAGTATTTTTTGTAACTATGCCGCGATATAGTGCCTAATAAAATTTGACATTAATTTCATTCTCAACTTAAAACACTGGCTATGATAAAAAAAAAAAAATGTTTCTTTTTTTTCTTTTAAGAATATATTTTATTATTTTTAGTTTTGTTTTTTATTTAAGAGTATATTTTTTGAGTTTTGTTTTTTACTTTTGAATATCGCATTTTTGCGTTAAGAATATGTTTTGTTTTAACCCTTGTTTGATTGTTTTTTTTTAGAGTTATTTTTTTATTTATTTTATGGTTTATTAGGGCTATTGGCGATGACCTCCATTTAAAAAAAAGTCAACGCGTCGCAGAATAATACCTCATAGGTGGCGTAGAAATTTATTCGTATTTGATCAAAATCAACTTCATGTCGCCTCACCTTCCTATGTACCCACGAGCCGCCACTGCCACTGCATCAGATTGTGAAAATGAAACCTGGATTTGCGTGTCATCTGCGTATCTGTGACTATTACACTCTTTAAAACAATTCGACATATCCGCTGTGAAAATGATGAAGGAAAGAGGACCCAAAAGTGACCCCTGAGGGACCCCTCTATCAATTTCCAAAGGCATTGACTTTATGTTACTCAATACCACCAGCTGAGACCTGCCGTCCAAATAACTGCGGATAAGCTGGACAGTTTTAAATTTAAATCCGAAATGGCTTAACTTGGCACAAAGCAGAGCGTGGTTGAGTGTGTCAAATGCTTTGCTGTAATCTAGTAATACTAGGGCAGATGTTTCTCCCTTGTCTGCTGTCAGTAAGATGTCATCCAGCACTTTTAACAAAGCCGTGGCTGTACTGTATCCTTTACGAAAACCTGACTGCAGTTTGAGTAACAGGTTGTTTCCACTGAAATAGTCAATAATTTGTCTGTAAATAAGCTTTTCAAACACCTTAGAAAGCATTGGTAACAAGCTAATAGGACGAAGTTCAGTGATGGTTTTAGGGCTGCTAACTTTTGGTAACGGTATAACTTCCGCCACCTTCCACTGTGGGGGAAAATGCTTTTTTCTATGCATGAGTTAAGTATTTCAGTAAGAATAGGTATGATTGTTGGACAACATAGTCTCAGCGTGTGAAGCGAGATCCCATCGGCACCAGATGCATTAGATTTTATTTGTGAGAGGGCCCATACGACATTATCCTCTTGTATAAGTTTGAGTTCAAACTCTGATGTGGTGCATTTAGTATTAAGGTACTTGCTAATGGTATCATGGTTCACATTATTAGGGATTTGTCTAACAGAATCTGTAAAGTATTTATTAATTACGTCAGGATTTTTCAAGTGATTAGGGATATCCATATTTTTCTTTGACCTACTGTGTATATTAAGGTGATCGAGAGTTTTCCAGATTTCTCTGAGGTTTTTGGTACGACTTACGTAGTCAATATAAGATTTTTTTTCCGCCCGAACGGCTGACGTGAAAAGATTTTTAATCTCCTTATATGCTTCCTAATCGCGCACGCTTTTAGTCCGTTTATATCTAGAAAATAAATTATTGCGATGCTTTTTCATTGCACGCAGGGCATCAGTGAACCAGGGAGAAGGAGGTCTGGTAACCTTTTTCTCAGATATTGGAGCATGACATTCAAAGAGGGCCAAAATCATTTCAGAAAGTAAAGAAACTTTTTCGTTAACATTTTCACAGTTTAAAACCTGCCACTAAAGCAGGTTGATAAGATCTTGTGTGAACGTGTTAATGTCGAATTGCTTAAAATTACGATATTTAATAATTTTTGGCTTCGACGCAGATATTTTGATGTTAAGAGTGCAATAGATTAATTGATGATCAGAATGATTGTGCATATCATGGTGTTGAACAGCACCACTTAAAAGACGGTCATCTGACAAGATGATAACGTCAATCAAGCTAGCCTTTTCTCGAGAGTATCTGGTGGGATTTAATACAACCTGCTTACAGTTGAAAGCATCAAGGAGATTGTCAAACTGGTTAGTAACATTAGTATATCTCAACAGGTTGATATTAATGTCACCCATTATAATTAGTTCATCTGTTAAAGGAACAACGTTGGCTATAGTGTCTTCCAACTGATGTAACGCAGTTAGAGCATTATAATTTGGAGGACGATAGAATACGCAAAGTCCGATTTTAACCTTGTTAATTTTCAAGATAAGCCACTGTTGCTCAAAGCTTCCCGTCTTGTTCTCCACAACATCCATTACCGTAGCATTTAAGTCCGATCGAACATAAAAACCTATGCCCCCTCCTCTGGATTCCCGATCAATTCGAAAGAAATTAAAATTTTGTATGTGAATATCAGCATCAGCTGTGTTATTGTTAAGCCATGACTCAGATACTCCCAATATACCCAGCTCTAAGTCATTTATCAATGTCTTGATTTTATAAAAACTTGGTAATAAAGATCGCACATTTATATGACCTATTTTTAAGTTGTTTTCCTTATTTTGACTATTCATAAAGATAGAAAAATGTTAAGTGGTAAGCAAGTGGATAAAAACTAAAAACAGAAACCAAGTAGTAGGTAACAAAACGGAATTATAACAGAAACAGATAAAAATAAAAAAAAACACGGGTAAGAGTGTATTTCAGTAAGTCTTTAAGGTGACTTTCATTGCGGACAGTAACAACTTTGGAATCATGATTCTTGCGTGATAATATTTTCCCATCTCGATGCCACATATATTTGTAGCCGACACCTCGAAGTTGTTCCTTGGCCTTTTTAAAGAGCGCATAGGTCTCTTTTGTAAGCCCCTCATCAACAAAAATTCTATCATTCGAATCAGAAAATTTAGTATTTTTTAGTGTCAGTTTTCCTTTTCTGTCACGAGATTGAAGAATTTGCTTTTTATGTTCTGGTTTTACGGTAACCATGACTTTTGTACCGCTTTTTGTTGGCACTTGTCTGAAGTTGGATATATCGTTTAATAAGTCAAGGGCGTGTCCAAGAAAGAAAATAGAGTTAGGTTTTTTTTTAAGTGCTTGTTCCTGAGTTTCTTCTTCAGCAGTGAGGCTCGTAATTGACAAGTTGTTTTCAATCTTTTTCATTTGCACAGTGTTAGATACTGATTTCAATTTGTCAACTTCAGCTTTCAGAACTAAATAATTGAGGCTCCAGAGCAGAGATATAGAGATCTCTATATCTCTGCTCCAGAGTCACTGCATTATGCAAAAACGCTGAATGTAGTTAAAGTACTATGTGTGGTACTATCTATGGTTAGAGGTAGCAACATCTTGTGTCGGTTATTTCTTATCATTGGCAACTGAAAAAGTGAGACAAGAAAATTTTATAGTGTAATAGTGGATGGATTGACGTTCCTCGATAAATAAAAATATGTATGTTGATATCGTGGTTTTTTATATTTTTATACCGTATGCTCGAAAAAAACGGCGTTCAGTTGACTTGGAAATGACGATCTTTAACATTCCCATAAAATGACAAGCGATCTTCATTTCATAGCCATCGCTGACGTAATTTTTTTCGATCATACGGTATTATTAAAACAATACGAAAAATATCGATTTTTTGAAGAATCGATCTTTTGTCGGCGATTTTTTATAGAATCGCTTCTATGACTTTCGATTCGAATCGATCCTCAGAAATCGATCTTTTCAAAAAATCGTGCATCCCTAATGTGGTATACCAAATTATTCGTAAGAAAATGCTTTTCCAAATATGATAATGAGACATCCTAGTTCCATTTAAAAAAAAAGAGTTACGATTAAAAATACGATTTGGGCATCTTTTAATCGACAGGAAAAGGCACGAAAAATATTAGACGATCAAATCTATTTTTCCAAAGCTGCATGATTACAAAATAAATTATTGGTTTTAACACAGTCTAACTAACTCTACCTTGAAAATTAAATGCTGTTATTTTTTAATTGAGAATGTCAAAAGTTGACAATTTTAAGTCATTTTTTTATCATATAAATTAAAATATTACCAAGGGTCCATTTAAAAATCTAAATGTGTAGTCATTTCCTGCGAAACAGGAAGTGACCGATGTAATTGAATATTGAATACGTCAATCAATCCCGATTTATCCATTTACTAATATACCAAATTTTGTTTTTTAATCTTAAAAAATAAACAGTTACATATATTATAAGTGATCCACTTTTGAAAAACACCCGGTACATAATATATTGTTCGTTTAGATAAAGTTAAATGTTTTAATTTAAAAAGTCTGTTAAAATATTCTATTTGTTGTATTTTTTAGCGATTGTGACGAAACCTCACGTCATAAAATTTTATATGAAAATCGACCTTATTTTTTGCTTGCCTTCATCAATAATATAATTATATCTTTCAATTCATAATAAATCTATCAATAAAAATCTATCAATTCATAATAAATATCTCTAGGTTTTTCATAAAAATGGAAGAAAAATATTTTTTCTTAGATCTATGGAAAATTTCTTAGAACTGGCAACTGTGCGAATCGCTTCATAAATCCTTCATAAATCAACAGTGACGCGTGACGCCACGCATATGAGAAGGGGAGCGTTGAACCAATCAAACTGCTGAACGTACGTAGCGTCATCGGCGTCATCCTGCTCTAAACTTTTATTTATGTAATTCTTTCGTTCTTTTCTTTTTGTGTCCGAGCGTGGTACGAGCTCTTTGTGGTTGTTTATCTTGTGTTTTATGATAATTTTAATGTGTTTTGTTGATGCTGAATTTAGTGAGTAAAAAATATATTTTGAATTTAGTGCACTGCGGGTGTGCGTTTGTCAAGAAATTATAGAAATCATTGTATTATTTTTCTTGTTTTTAATCGGCGTCTGTCGGCGTTGCTAATGGTGTCCATCAACGCGACTTGTTTCAAGCTACGCGTCATAATAGTTTTCATTTTTTGTGTGTTTTTTAGTTCAAGTTCAGTTAATTATTTATTCACAGAGTAAATAAGACTAATTTACTACTTGAAAATTTTCTTCATGTAGGTAAGAGCGTACTTTTTACATACGGTCATATATTCGATTTGATACATAATATAATATTATTAAATAACAGGGTTGTAGATTTTCGAGTGCAGATTGATTTTTATTCAATTCCCTTTTCCTTTTCGGGTCGGAAGGTGTTTAGCGATTTTTTTTTCTTGATATGGGGTAGTTTAGTTAAAATGTTATGTAAAAAATACATAAAATTGAATTGATAAAATTTATTAGTCTATAGACTGCATATGTTATTTTATAGATTTTTTTCTCTCTTGGCAGTTTTTTATAAAGTATGTAGGGTTAGCATAATAATCTATTATATTATGTATCAAATCAAATATGACCGTATACGAATCAAAAACATCAAAGCCATATAAAGTAATTTAATACAAGCAAATACTTTTTATTTTTAACTAAGTAACTACATATAAAGACATATTGGAATACTTATTGTAATATTACGTGTTATACCGTATGATCGAGAAAAAACGGCGTCAACGATGGCTATGAAATGAAGATCGCTGTCATTTTATATGTAAATTTATATGGGAAATGTCATCGATCGTCATTTCCCAGCCAACTGGACGCCATTTTTTTTCGATCATACGGTATTTATAATTTGCTTCCCTATTTCTGGTGTACCTTACATGAGCCATACCTATTTTATAAATTTGTTATTTTACTATGCATGATTTTTGGTCAATAAAATATGCTTTTATCTAATTGAAAGCATATAAGGTACCTACTTGGACTATTTTTGTTTAAATTTAAAGTTGACCACCTATACAAATTATAATTGATAATTCGAGTGCCCATTTTTAGTATTAAAAATATTATTAATTTCAATGATTGGCAGTCTATGCTAACAATGATATAACTAGGCACAAAAAAACAAAGTTGGTTTTTATTTTTATGTATTTTTAGGTGCTAATCGTTGATGGGTTGTCTGAAAACATTTTTTTTTAAATTCCTATTTTTATTATTAAATAGACAACCTCTAACTTAAGAGTCATTACGCTGTACTCATTGGGTCGCTCTCAGGGGTCGGGTAAAGCGGGTGTATGGCTGAAGAAAATAGGTATAGGTAGATAATATTTAAGAAATCTGCCTAAGGCTTAGCCCGATCCTGTCGTGTTAAGCCACATCCAAAATTACAAACACACGTCCTTTAATTAAGGCTTGAATAATGTTTGCAGAGCTTCAGCATTTGCCATAAAATAGCGAACAATTTGTTACAAAAACATATAAATTATATATCATTGTAATCACAAAACTTCAATCTATTTCCGTATAGTAACGGAATTTTAAATTGTCTTTATTTTTGAGAAAATTTAGTCTAAACATAAGGAATATTTTGTTGATGACCATCACAATCTTAAAAATAAAGAAGTTGTCTAAAAATGTGCTACAATACTGATATAGTATAATTCTTTATCTTTCATTTCCTTCTTCATTTGTTTAACCTTTTTTTTTAAATTTTTGTATACCTACTTGCTTTTTTAGTCAGAAATAATAAAAAATATAATTTTTTAAATGGAAATCACAGTTGGCTATGAACTTAAAAAAAAGCTGGCGTTTAACCCTTTCCAACGATATAAAGTTATGTATATTTATTTCTAAAAATGAGAGAAATATTAGGTTTTTTTATCTTTGTATCGAAGCGGGCCTTGATTTTGTGTTGACCTAGTTGCCTAATTATTTTTTATCACAATTTAATATTCTATATCATTATTTATCTGCATAATTAAAGACTTTTGAAAAGGTAAATCAACATTCTATATTAGTATTACCATTAACAATTAAAAAGCCAGGGTTACAACTGCACTATTAAATGGATAATTTAGAGAGAATTGGATTGGAACAAGGGATCCTATATCTTGGCCTGCTAGGTCCTGTGATGTAACTCCTTTTACCTTAGATATAAGGGAAGAACCATTGGGACGAGAGAAGAATTACAGAAGACTACTAGGCAAGCTTTTGGACTTATTACACCAGTTCGCGTAATATTGGTGTAACTCTGTGCGCAAAAGATGTTTATTGTATATTCAATAAGAGGGTGCTCAGTTTGAACATCTTTGATTATTTTTTTTTAGAAAACTATATTCGTCACTCACAAAATACTTTTTTTTAGTTTTATTCTTTGTTTATTGTATCGATTTCAATTGTAATTACTAATACTAATATAGACTGTTAATTTACCTTTTCAAAAGTCTTTAATTATGGACATAAAGAATAATATAGAATATTAAATTGTGATAAAAAATAATTAAGCAAATAGGTCAATACAAAATCAAGGCCCGCTTCGATATAAACATCAAAAACATAATATTTCTCTCATTTTTAGTAATAGATATCCATAACTTAGATCATTGGAAAGAGTAAAACGTCAGTATTTTTTTAAGTTCATAGCCAACTATGATTTCTATTTAAAAAATTATATTTTTTATTATTTCTGACGAAAAGAGCGAGCATAGAAACACACTGACTACGCCACTGGATTGTGCCTAAAAAAGTGCCT